TATTATTTCCCCTTCCGCCCAGCCTTTCTGTAATGCAAAAGATCTACATGAAGCAAGTCTAGATTCTCCTCAGGTTCTGAATCTCCCATATCACTGGGGCTCCTTTTCAAATTGAATGGAATTGTTTGTTTCTATCATATTATATATTTTCAGAAACTTAGGGTAAGTCTAGATTAGACAGAATGTGCACGTAAAGCATGAGCTAAATGTGACTATGCATGGGAGGCTCGATACGCTGTATTACATCAGTGTCTCTTCAAAGCAAAATCGTTTCGCCTCATCTTCATCCTCATTCGTCACCACTCGCCTCTTTCCGTAACCTGCAAGAAGAGCTATTCGGCTTGTCCCGGAATAACACGAGCTGGTCACGAATGCTTCATCCTATCCGACAGCCTGGCAATTGTCGTGCATTGAACACCAAACCATTTGGTTTTCCTTGTTCGTTGGTTCACAGAGCTCGGCAAGTTACCGCTATAAACACAAATGTACTTCGTGTTACTACCTGCTGCCCCTGAAACGTAGTTTGACCATGTCATATTCACCAGTGTCAGGTCGAGAAGTCAATGATTTTACCAAAGGGAAACAACACTCCAGCTCTCAGTCGTCTAGCGGGTGCGGTCTTAATTAGTTTGCGTAATCAGCAGATTCCAATTAGCGTCAGCGACCTAACAAACTGGGCTTCGGACCACCCTGTGCACAGCAAGGGGGAATCCCCTTGAATCCTCGCACTTGATTGGACGATGCTTACTAAAACATTGCAAAATTTGTCTGCTTGTGTAAATGTGTATGAGCTGTTATGTAGTTTAGTATACAGCAAATACGTGTGCGTATTATTTTTGCGACAATGAAGTTAAGTTCATATATTCAAAACAGCCACGATCCTTTTTTTTCAGGCAAATTGGATATAATATATTTACTACTCCCTTCTTGTCATGCATGTTTCATGTTAAAAGTCTACACCTGTGTATTTGTCGTCATTCACCTGACGCTCAGTTAATGTATTTATTGCAGGTATAATAAGTGGTAGAACTACTCAGATTACCTGATAGAGATTACCTGCTAGAGCAACAGTAAAGATCACAAGAACCCACCTAAAGCCAGAATACTAGTCTGCTCCAGGGGATCTGTGTTCGACAACACCGCCAAGTACCTCTCCCGACTTCTAGCCCCCTTAGGCAAAGATGGAAAATCCTCTTTCATATCTTTCGTCAACCAGCTGAAAGAAGCTAACCTCACAGGCACCATGGTCATCTATGACATCATCGACCTCTTCACCAACATCCCTCTACAAGAAGCGATGGACATCCTCCGCAACAAGCTACATAATAAAATCAACGACCTAGACACCAAACTCACAATAGGCAGCATAATCAACCTAGCCTCCAGCTTCAAACTTCACCTTCAACAACAAGATCTACAAACAAATCCACGGACTACCTATGGGCTCCCCTCTATCTCCACTCATCACTGAAATCGCCATGACATCCTTCGAAGAATCAGCCCTCTCCACAGCACCATTCCAACCCCTCCGCTGGTACCGAAAAGTAGTCGGCACATTCACCACCATAGCCCACCAGAACGACCCCACAGAGCCCCTTAACGTCCAGCACCAGAGAATCCAGTTCACCATGGAGACCGAAAACAATCAACACCTTCCTTTCCCCGACGTGTCCATCCAAACCACACACAGACCAGAACATCCTTTACAAATCTTGCCACCATCCCCAGATAAAACAAGCCACCATCGCCACCCTCACCCGACGTGCCAAATCCATTTGCCACCCTGATGCCCTCAGCAGTGAACTGGACCATCTCAAGGAAACCTTCACTTCCCTCAACAGCTATCCTGCCCACCTGGTCTCCAAAACCATCCGCAAGACCCTCAAGAACTCCGACCCAGGCCCATACCAGCATCATCGCCCATCAGAATCGCAATACCCTACCAAGGCCCTGTCACTCATCAGATTTCCTACCTCATCAAGAACAAAACCAACATAGATGTCACCTTCTCCACCAGCAAGTCCATCAGGACCCATCTACGAGCCAATGGCAGCGGCACAAGCAGCGCAGGATGTATAAACCAGATCACCTGCAACTGTGGCCAACAGTACATTGAAGAAAACCCTAGACCCCTCAACACCAGACTCAAAGAACATCGGACCTCTGTTAACAAACCCGACCTGAAATCCGCTATTTCCGAACACATCCCGAAAAACCATAACCATAACATCATGTGGGAAGCCACCAAAGTCCTGTCTACCAACAACTGGCGACAAAGAAAACTACAAGAAGCCATTGACATCAGGAAACACCAGCCAGCCATGAACCTTGACCTATTCTGCCTAGTGCTTAGGACTTATTGCTTTGATCTTTGTCGGTGCTAATTACCTAACTGGCTTCAATTTGCCCTTTGCAATGTCCAGTCTTACACCTATCAGTGCTAAGCAACCCGGCCTCCCGTTTGCCCAGTGCCCATTACCTATTACTTATCTATCAGGGATGTGATCAGGTTTTGCCGAAAAAAGAGGAAAAGTCTAGGGGGGTCTGGGGGTATGCCCCCCCAGAAATTTTTAAAAAATTTGATTGCATTTTAAGCAATTTCATGTAGTTTGGACAACATTCACACCAAGAAATGTAATAAGTCAATGGCAAAAGTCAATAAGCAAAATAAACAAGATGGCAGATGCAGTAAAATTTCGAAGTTAAATCAGTACTTTAAAAAAATCGGGCATAGCTTTCGCGCACCTGGCTACCCGCCAGGTCTGGGAGCAATACTGCCATAAACTTCAACCCCCGTCCCCCAGACACAAGGACAACTGTCACAAGCGTGCAATGTCTGACCCTTTCCCCATGTTGAAGCATATTGAAAAAAACTTACCTTGTACTTACCTTTTGATGAAAAAAACAAAACTCCATTGCAAACATAAGACATTAATACAATATATATCCCCATGACATGGGGTTTTGGACGCTGAAGAAACATTCATAAATTTCTCGCTTATCACATGAACAACTGTAAAACATCTCATTCACTTACAGGCTAAAAGACAACTTTATCTTAAAAACAAGCCATCAGCTGACTCTGAGTATTTACAATTTCTGTGTGACGCCACACCCCACGTTATAGTGCAAGTATTCGTGACAGAAAACGTATGATGTCCGAAAACCTATGCTGTGAAAGCTACGATCGAAAACAGGCCAATCCGCTCCAATTGTACGGTTTTCGATCATATTTTTCGGAGTGTTTTTTTTTAAATATTTAATAATTTTTTCCGCGGAAGATGATTTTTTCCGAGGACTACTGTTTTAAAAAACGCGATTTTCCGTGTTTCCGCGGAGATTTCACATCCCTGATCTATGATAACTTAAGTACTGGCTTCCATGCCATCAGCGTTGGCTTCCCATGTTAGCTTCTACCCTTTGTTATTTTTTATCTTTTGTTAAGTTATTAGTTTTGTTGTCCTTACATGTACATATATATATGCTCTCTGCCTCATGGCATTCATTCACCTGATGAAGTAGTAAGCATATACTCCGAAACGTTGTGTTCCTCATAATAAAGAAGTTGACATCAATTATCACTTCTAAATGCCTTTCAAAGACATGAACATGGTAGTCCCATGCCCTATCTCAGCTGACCAATGAGACATATGACACCATTGTGAAACACCTGAAACAAACTTACGTGATCAGTAGAGAGACAAACACAGGTTATATCCAAAAACGCTATATATATAAAATAATACATTGTTACAAAGACACGTGACATTGAACAAATTTCTTAGTACAGCTGCAGATGTATGGGATAATGTTCCTTTATGTGGATATCGACGGCTACATTCCCCGATCAAGGTAACTGCCTGATATTATAGATGTAACGTTTGTCGGTTATAATTACGATATTTGCATTTTCCCCCATTGATTTGCTGTAGCAAGAACGCGAGAGGCCTCAACGGTGACTGATCGTTCAAATACGTAAAACATATCCGGCAATAGATATCAGTTGTCCAAAAATATATATTGTAAACGTTGCAACTAAAATAACTCTGTTTTGGAATATATTATTTTTGATAAAATAATATTTTCAATACACTTCTTTCGATCATTGGAATTATTTTCGATCCTGCGATAGGTGTCGCTTCCCAAGTCAGACCAGTCGAGATAATAGTCCATAAGCAAATTTTGAATCTACGAAGAGCCGATCAATATTTCAACTCTTTCCTTCTTACAGTGTTGTTTCCCTTCTTTAATTATATAGCCAATTTAAACATTATTTCTATAATAGATTGTTATTGTTTACCTATGGTGAAACCACGAGCACTGCGGTTTGAGACATGGATCACAATGGTCCGATCCAGTTGATGCCGGCGGCTAAGGGAGGCAACTCTGTACAGACAATTGCGGTGCCCAAATTGGACCACTGGGCCAACAGTGCACTTCCAGTTTTACAGAGATCAGAAGTGATGTGTCCCCAGCTATATGCCCCCTGTTAATTATACGTAATCTTAACCTGCGTGTGTGTGTGTGCGTGTGTATGCGTGTGTATGTGTGTGCGCCCACTGAGATACCATGCCGCAGTTTAACATGAATACCCCACTCAGACACAGTATACTGACTCTGCCGACCAGTCCTCGTTTAGCCCCTTTTGCTGAGGGCCAGGCAGGTTAAAAACAATCCTTCAACGTCTTTTTCTTGGTTGATTGATTGATTGATTGATTGTCTGTTGTTTAACGCCGCACTCAGCAATATTCCAGCTATATGATGGCAGTCTGTAAATAATCAGGTCTAGACCAGACAATTCACTGATTGATATTGTGAGCCTTGATCCACACATATAGGATACGCTGACATGCATCAACCAAGTCAGCGAGCCTGACCACCTGATCCCGCTAGTCTCTTATGACAAGCATGGGTTTCTGAAGACTAATTCTATAGGTTGACCAGTTGAGTGAAAAATACTACTAATATGTGCTCATGCGAAAAATAAACAACAAAACCCATTTTGAAATATACACACTCATCCAATTTTATATTATGGGTAGATGTCTCTGATACAATGCAGAACAACAAACAACTCCTTCACTGTCTACAAGTACTATTCTCTGGACACAGACACCATCTAACTCCCTGTGAAGGAGATGTATCTTCAGCAGTAGATACTGCACTGGAACAAACACCTTTCTGTTGTTTGTGCCTATTTATCCCTTTGTTAACACTAACATATCTTATAAACTATCCATTGTTGAAATAAAGGCATTGATAAATGTATTAAATGATTATTTTTGTATACTTGTGAAGCAGTAGTAAAATCATTCAAACCACCTTTTATCCAAGCTTGGACGAGTTGATCTGGGGTGAATTGTGTCAGGAAGCTAAGGATGTCATATCTTGAATCATTCCATGCCCTGCTTATTTGCAACGACATTTTCTGATTTAGTCAGTTTTAAAGGGAAAACATGTTTACTTTCCTTGAAAGATTAATTACCAACTCAGGACGAGGTATTCTCTTCCTGCGGATTGTTCTCATTCTATGTTGTGAGTAGAACAAAGCACCATACAATACTGTACTCATTACATGTTTTATGTATTTCCAACAGACCATACTGGTAAAGAAACATGATTCTGAATTATCATTATTTTGTGATTGTGGCTTGAACAAATTTTCATAAACACATTTTCATCTAAAGATAGTCACTCTTGGTTGAAATAAATTTGGCTCTCACACATGATTACCGGTACTTCAGCTGAATTGTAACTGAAGGACTGATATTTTCATCCATGAATCTGGAGTTGCAGGAACTTTCACACACCTGTAGATACACACAGCTCACACAACGAGTGCAGACATCATGTATCTTCCTGTATTGCTCTGTTCAGGAAATCCTTTTTAATATTCAGCTCCATCCTCAGAGGTTGTGATGTGTCCTCTCCCCTCGCGGACATCTCCTGCTTGGCGAGGAGTCCCAGCAACGGAGGAATGTCAGCATATTTGGGCACCACATTCCTGGGCCGGGGCTGGGACAGTTCCTGGCAATAGGTACTCTCTTCCTCCCTGGGTATGAGCCTCCAGTCTGCCTTCATGCCAGCATCTATCTGACGCACACCCAGGTTCTCTCCCCTGAACACCTTCACCCCCCAGGCCTTCCCACTGCGAGTGGTCTGTAAACAGGAATTCAACTTGATAAACAAGGTAAACATCATGAATGGAATGTTATTAATTCTATGTACTCTTAAGTGAGTGAGTATGGTTTTATGTCGCTTTTAGCAATATTCCAGCAATATCACGGCGTGGGACACCAGAAATGGGCTTCACACATTGTACCAATGTCGGGAATCGAACCCGGGACTTCAGCGTGACAAGCGAACGCTTTAACCACTAGGCTACCCGACCAGCCCCCATGTACATATGTACTCTTAAAGTATATCCCATGGAGATTCCAGGTTAGAATATATCCCCATCAATGTATGTTGGTCTAAGAGGCAAATTAATTTCGTTAATGATCAGGTCAAGCTCGGCAACTTGTTGCTCATGGTATCAATCACTCAATTGTCTGGGCAAGACTTTATAATTATTTATGTCTGGAATGTTGCTGAGTGAGCTTTAAACAACAGCAAGGTATATTCATATTAAAATTAATTACTTTTCCTCTTTATTTGGAGTGAGAGAGTGAGTTGAAATATAATGTTGCCTCAGTCTGGGACATTGAACTCATGCAGAAAACATGTGAGACCAGTGGAGATCGCGGTTAGAGTAAGTTTTCAGCTTCATACTTGCCATAAAAGGCGACTATGCTTGTCATAAGAGGTGACTAACGGGATTGGGTGGTCAGGCTCGCTGATTTGGTTGATGCATGTCATCATATCCCAATTGCGTGGATCGATGCTCATGATGTCAATCACTGGATTGCCTCGTCCAGACTTGATTATCTACTGAGTGTCGCCATATAGGTGGAATATTGCTGAGTGAAGAGTTAAACAACAAACAAACACATGGACACTATTTCAGTAATGTCATGGCTTGTCAACTTGACATGGATGGAAAGTTTGAAAGGATACAGGCTGTAGAAACCTTTGCTGAAACCTATGACCATGGATCATTATCAGTCTGAGATTTGATCCATGATCCACAGACCCTTGAACATAAATTGTGGTGCCTTACTGACCTGACTCCTTCTAATCTGGGCCGAACAGACTGTATTGTTCGGGTATTGAAGGTCAGCTAGATTTTGAATAATCAGCTGATAATCATTTGATCACAGTGCTTGCTAGATTCGAGTACATCAGCTTAGCTTAACAATAATACCGCTTGACCGAGTAGGCCTATATTTGAGGACATTAGACATAAGTGCCAATGAAGTGCTGTCAACTATGGTACCTTGTCGGAGAGATCAGGAGTAACTTTGGTGAGTCGATAATAGCTTTTTTCTTCGTAGCGTTCCGCGAACTTGAATCTTGTCACAACTCGGCCCTCGCCACAATTTCTTAAGTTAGCCGCAATCTCGAAGAGCGTCTTTCCACGGAAATAGCTTTCCCGGCCAACATATCTAATAGGCATTGTCAGATTGTAGCAGATATGTCTTCTGGAAGGAAACTAAATCTCGTATTTGTTATGACTTCGAGCACATGCTTATGGGTGCCGCCATATTGGAATATATTATCATTAGAGTTACCTCCCCTTGACCATAACCATTTTGATTCTTTCCGGAATGCTCAGGAATTTATGCTGTATTCTCGCCATTTGACGGCTGCGTTTATGCGTTATGGTGTGAAAATCAATTTGGCGTGTTTGACTGCTCTATGGACAAAACAGATAGAGGGTCTGACCGTTAAAATTGATCTCGCCTTCTAAAATCATTATTTCAGAAGTTGAATATGTAACAACAAAATTGTATGGATGAGCACTATTAATAATTTTACATGGTTTTGTTTGTTTGTTTGTTTGTTTGTTTGTTGTTTAACGCCGCATTCAGCAATATTGACATCGTGAGCATCGATCCACTCAATTGGGATATGATGACATGCATCAACCAAGTCAGCGAGCCTGACCACCCAATCCCGTAAGTCGCCTCTTACGACAAGCATAATCGCTTTTCGCGGCAAGCAAGAATGGGATCTCAGTCCATCTGAACTGCTGTCGAATATTATCCATCACTCCACCTGATTTGATATCCATCAGTCCGTCTGTTCACATCTGAAACCCGTGAATCTCCCGCGGATTCACTGATTAACCACCAGGATCACGATAGATAACTTCAGCATATACAATACGTCTTCTTTCCAAACAAACCCGTGAAGGTCTGGGTTAAAATGGGTCTTCAGCTTACCGTAAAAGGTGAATATGCTTCTCGTTATGGGGCGACTAACGGGATCGGTTGGTCAGGCTCGCTGAGATATCTACTGGTAATATAAAATGGGATGAATGTGTATATTTGAAAATGACTTTTGTTAACTATTTTTTACATGAGCACATAGTATTGTTTTTCACTCAACTGGTGAACCTATAGTTGTCGTAAGAGGCGACTAACGGGATCGGGTGGTCAGGCTCGCTGACTTGGTTGATTGCATATCATCGTATCCCAATTGCGTGGTTTGATGCTCATGGTGTCAATCACTGGATTGTCTAGCCTGGACTAGATTATTTACAGACCGCCGTCATATAGCTGGTATATTGCTGACTGCGGCGTTAAACAAAAAACAAAACAACAAACATCATATCTCAATGGGCCAAGTCGCAGTGACAATTAAACTCAAACAACTGAAACAAAACTCTGATAGTGCTGCTGAAAATAAGACATACTGTTGTAATCTGTGACAACTGAATCAGACCTCTCAGAGTGCTGCTTTCGATGGAACAAAGACTCTTAAAGATATTTGCTATGAAATGAATCAATATCAGTTTTCGAAATACCTGCCTGCCCGACCGTCCGAGACGGGTTGATTTCAACTCGGGCTGCCAGATTTTCAAATCCCCCTGCCCGACGGTCGGATTATATTTCATATGTGAAAATATTCAAAATATTTCCCGATGATAAGCATTAATTCACATGTAAAGATGAATGATAAAATGTAACCAAAAAGAAACCCCGTTAGCTTATCCTGAGAAACATATGATTATAGTGGGCAGGCAGGTTTTGGTCAGGGCTGGCAAGTATTTCAGCTAGCCAGTCCTGTGGTCTGGCTGAAATTTTTGGGAGTTTCATACCCTGTCAATATATAGAGGATATTGAGCCAGTTAAGGCTTTAGACAGAGTTATTTCCCTTCTTCCAATATCCTAACCACCTAATATTTTGTATACAAGTGGAAATTGTTTTATTATTTTCCAGAGCGGGATGACATATAACCTGTTGGGCGAATAAGTTGATATTAAAACCCTTTTCTATTAACGGGGCTGCTTTTTAGAATCTGAGGGAGAAGAGAAACACATAAACATTTACAGACGTCCCAACACTATGTAAATATTTTTTATTATAAGTGCACCATGTTATATTGGATACAGTGTGATCAATATAGGACATACAGTGTGTTATCTCGAAAAGTCAAACCCAAAATTAATAGTCATGCAATATTTGGTGGATCTAAGTCGGGCAAACCAGACATTGAACTCAGATTTCGTAGTGATAGAATGTTTGCTGCACACGCACAATGTCTCCTAAAATGCCTGCTGTAAATGGCTCGGAGCTGTGGAGAGTGCTTTGTAATTAGTTTTTTCCCTAATGCAGGGCATTTAACTTGATTATGAACCATTATTGGAACGTGCCAGAGCGTGGAATGTGCCAGTAGTGTGGAGTTCAAGACGAGACATTGTCGCCCTAACCATGCAAAAAGCGACAAAATTATCCAAAGCGCGACAACGCAACATTTGTCGCAACTGTCGCATTTTTACGAATGGGCGGCAAAAGGACATTTTCAGGTCAAAATGTGTCGCAGGCATGTCTCGTCAAGGATTCCACCATGTAAATTGCCTGGCAAAAGATACTATACACCCATGTTTAGTGGTAACTAAAAATGAAACAAACAAGAATTGCTTAACCGATAGTGATGTATTTGTTGCGGGTATCATAGTTGTGTTTTGAACCTCAGGTTTACAGTGTTTAGGCGACAGTCGCGACTGTTGTAACGTTTCGATAACGTCAGTACTTGGGTCACATCCAATTTTCAAGTGTATACTTTCATTTGCCCCGACAGTTTAGGATAGCAACGCAACGGTTCCCAAAGTATCGATGTTCCACTATACGAGAGTCGTATCGTAAGATGCAAGTAAATGGCTTGTAAATGTCAGAGACACCCTCATTCCAACGGAAATAATCGTGTTTGGTTTAATCAGAACTTTCATTAATTGACTAAAACCTACAATCAAAAGATTTTTGAAAGATGAATCTATCTGGAAATGGTTTTCCGACACGCACAATTCCTCTTATGAAGATTTTATAAGGAGGTTACAGGTACCGTTAACATGGAATCGTATACTGAAGCTTGACCCAAATCGTTATGTACAACTGTTATTATTCCGTACTTCTTGTCATAGAATTCGAATTGGAAATGGGCAGTGGCAAAACACCACATTTTCAACGAGCGGTGAGGCGTGGGTGGCCCCCATTTGCCTACAGCGCCGAAATTCGCTGTGCAAAGTTGCAGCCAATAACATTCCCATAGTATGATTGCGAATTCGAGTGAGTGAGTATGTGAGTGATTTGGGTTTAACGCTGCTTTGAACAGTTTTCAGTTATATCAAGGCGAGTCAGCTTTATGCGGGAAGAAAGCCCGAAGTGATGCAGGTCTCAGATGTTTACCACTGCGGTGAAACCCACGAGCACGGGTATGGTGCTGACAAACCTAGAGACATCATCGGGGCGAACCGGGGTTGGTTTGTTGTTTGACGCCGCACTCAGCCATATTCCAGCTACATGACGGCGGTCTCTAAATAATCGAGTCTGGACCAGACAATCCAGTGATTGGCATCATGAGGATCGATCCACGCAATTGGAATCGATGACGTGCATCAACCAAGTCAGCGAGTCTGACCACCCAATCCCTGAGACGCCTTTTACGACAAACATAGTCGCCTTTTACGGCAAGCATGGGTTGCTGAATACCTATTCTACCCCGGATCTTCACGAGAGTGTCGAACAGGGATTCGAACCCACAATCCTAGGTTTCTGGCGTGCACAAGGGACGTAACTCTGCTTAGCGAATTGCGGCCCCTTAGACGACTGGCCCACCATAACTCATCTTGCGGGTTCGAATCCCGATTCTCCCATATTATATTCCTAGGTCGGCCAGCACCACATCCGTGCGCGTGGGTTTGTCAGTGAGTGAGTTGGGATGAAAGCCACTTTGAACAGTATTTCAGTTATATCACTGCGTGACAGCTTAACGTGGGAGGAAAACCCGAAGTGAAACTGGTGTCAGATGTTTGCCACTTTGGTTAAACCCACGTACACGGGCGTTGTTCTAACATACTTAGAAACATTATCACGGTTCTCCATGAAACAAACACCATCCTGTTTACCCTTAAGAGTCTATTATAATCTCTGCCCTTAATGAGATGACGCGGAGGATAAGAATCAATTCACTTTGTCAACGTCAAGACCAATATATAAAACCTAGTATGTCTCCCACTGACATTCGGCGTTCGGTTGTGTTCTTTGTTAATATCGAGACACCCCATATAAAGTATGTGCACAAACGATGTTGTATTCACGACCTATTTGTCACAATTAGGAAAATTCCCAGTCATTGTTCTTTCTGGGAACATCCACTAAACCAGCCTCCCTTTCAAAGTTCAGATGTTAAAATTCAAATTATTCAGAGCTGAAGTATTTAATTAAAAATAGACGAGCTCCAAAGGAAGGCCTAACGCACATTCCATTCGCGGACCGGGAATAGCGGAAGAACAATGGACTGAATTTGATCTTTATGTCCACTGATCACTTAATACGAATGAACTGATGACTCAATGTTAGGTTGCCCCAGCACACCGACCTGGTCCCTTGTTTTTGATCTTAGTGGGGGTAGGGAGGGATAGGGGCTGGCGGAGAAGTTTTTGACGCTGCGAATTCCATCAGAGATCTCAGAAAATAATTGTAGAGTCAGGGGACACGGTTCCAATCTGGCGGTTCATTGTCTCTCTCCTGCTAATGTCTTTTGTCCACTGAAATCGATAATACCGTCGAGACTGGATGTCAGGGATGTTTGCAGACATTAAAATACAACCCTTGAAAAGATGTGCAGAGTTTTAAATTAGTGGCAGCGTGAAGCGTCTCGAGGTTATGATCGCTGTAACTCTTCCTCGCCGACTTGGGCCTGGAGATAGCATGTTTTTTTTGGGAAATGCGTGATACTGACTTGATTATCTGGAGCAACGGGACATTACATTAAATAAAGGAAATATTTGTTTGTATTCGAGATTTTCTGAGTTTGATATGGTCCGTATAACACAATTGTGAAATTAAATTAGAACGACGAGGATCGGCCAGCTCTCCCGATACAGCGATCAGCCAGTTGTTGTTCTTCGGGGATGAGATGTATCTCAGAAAACGCTGAAAAATATAATTTGGCTTCAGGCTTCCCCCCCCCCCCCCCCCCAAATAAAAAAAGCGTTTGAGGGATATGATGGATAGCCTGAAAAAAAGTTGCACAAATGTTTGTTC